TTTACTTTGCATCAATTCTCCAAATGGATCTTTGTGACTGGTTGATAAGTTCCGTTGGAACTTTTGGGCTAGTTTATTAGTTCCGGTTTTGACTTATTTGCCAAAGAGGAACTTTGTGGCTAGTTGATAAGTTCCTTTTGACTTTTGTAATTAGTATCTTGGTTTCCCTTTGAAATGTTCAAATATAATATGTTGCGCTTTTACTTTGCATCACTTCTCCAAATGGAACTTTGTGACTGGTTGATAAGTTCCGTTGGAACTTTTGGGCTAGTTTGTTAGTTCCGGTTTTGACTAATTTGGCAAAAAGGAACTTTCTAGTCAGTTGATATGTTCCGTTGGAACTTTTCAACTAGTCACTTTGTTCCGGTGGAACTTTTAAACCAGAGGAAGAACAAAGTAACTAGTTAATAAGTTCCTCCGGAACTTTTCGGCTAGTTAGTTCTTTCCGCCCGGAACTTTCCAACGTCGGAACAAAAGAGCATTTACATCTGTAATAAGTATGTTACCAAAATTTCTAGCAAGAAGCCTAATTCTATAGGGACATCATGATTTACTCGCATAGGGATTTGCAAATAAACTTTTGGAAAATATGTAGTAAAACAGATGAAATCTTACTATATCTATAAAACAAAAATGGACAAATTGAATGTAATCATATTCGTTTCAAATATGTGAAATAGCCAATAATAATCGGAAAATAATCGGAAAAACCCGCTATTATTACAAAAATATCCACAATAACATACAAAATAAAAAATAAACGGAAAAACTAAAGAATAGGGACAACAAATAGATTACAGGGATTCGAACCTAAACCGGTAAGTCTCTATCTTTAACTCATTGATCTTAACCATGCTAACCTCGCAGCTACCAACTTATACTATACGATTGTCTATTATGTATATATAAAGATACAAGCTCATTGTGGACCTTGTACAGATGTGTATCACATGTTCATTTATATATATAAAATAGACATATAAATTGCAACCCATTGGTAGCCGAGAGGTTTCGTTATGTGTTGATGTCAGTCACACATAACAGATTTCAAGGAGGGGTTCAAGTCCCAGTAAAGGCATATAAAATTACAAAAATTAAAGGTAAGTTTTTAAATTAATTCCATTAGTGAACAGAAATCAGTAAATGAGCCAATTCAAACTTAATGAAATTAGGCACACAACGGAAACAATTGAATATAATTTGATGAGTCTATTTCAGCGACAGATTTAGGAAGCGTTGATTCAAGAAAAAGAATCCACGGTAAATGAATAGGCTGACGTCACGACAATGGTTTAAGTTATATAGATACAATGGATAAGCGTGGATTCTTGAAAAAGAAACCATGAGCCCGGAGGGCGAATGGTTTGTTTTTCATGAATCTACGCTTATCCATTGCATCTATAACTTAAACTATTGTGTTAATTTCTTTTCAAAATCAAAGCCTTTTCTTAATTAGAAGGTATTGTAAGTGGGTTTAAATAACCATGTTATCGTGTCCAACGATGCATTGATAAATCTCAGAACAAAATACAAATATAGCACTTCTACCTTTTAAGATCTTTATATTATCAGGCATCTGAATATTATCTGTTTTTACAAAATAAGACATATTCGAACTTATTTCTAATAAAATTGAGAATGGAAATGGGGAATGTGTCAAAGAGACAACAACCCGACCAAAGAGCATATATAAAGTATATATAATAAGTATGTTACCGAAATTTCTAGCACTCTAGGCACATCACGATTTTCTTGCATAGGAATTTGCGAACAAACATTTGTAAAATAATGTAGTAGAACAGATGAAATCATACTATATTTATACAACAAAAATTGACAAAACGAATATAATCATTTTTGTTTCAAACATGTGAAATAGCCAATAATAATCCAAAAAATAAACGGTAAAACTCGCTATTATTACAAAAATATCAACTATAACATGCAAAATTAGAAACAAAACAGAATTGGGACAACAGAGATAATACAGGGATTCGAACCTAAACCGACAAATCCCTATCTTTTAAATAACTCATTGATTTTAAACATGCCAACCTCGCGGCTACCAACTTATACTACACGACTGCCCATTGTGTATATATAAAGGTACAACCCATGTGTGTCCGATGTTTATTTATATATATAAAATAAGACATCTAAGTTGTAACCCATTGGTAGCCGAGAGGTTTCGTCGATGTGTTGATGTCAGTCATTCATAACAGATTTCAAGGAAGGGTTCGATTCCCAGTGAAGGCATATACAAATTACAAAAAGTAAAGGTAAGTTTTTAAATTAATTCCATTAGTGAACAGAAATCAGTAAATTAGCCAATTCAAACTTAATGAAATTAGACACACAAAGGAAACAATTGAATATAATTTGGTGAGTCCATTTCAGCGGCAGATTTAGGAAGCGTTGATTCTAGAAAAAGAATCCACGGTAAATGAATAGGCTGACGTCACCACAATGGTTTAAGTTACCCGACTTAGCACATACTTACAACTTCTCGTCCAATCAAATTGCTTATATTTGCCTTCTAATTTTCATAGTACATACTTTTCCTGTGTACTAAGTAACTACGCATGAATGACCACAAGGGTAAGATTTCATTGTATCGTAATCAAGATATTTAATACAAAATTTGCCACTGGCTATTTTGAAATAAAATGCTGTGTTCCAAATTAAATTAAATAGTTTGTAATTAGTTTTCACGTTGATTTTTAAATATCCTGCTATTAAAATCTTTGGATCTAAAAAATGTTTTTGACAATTGCAAATTTTATCATTTAAATAAAGGGTAATACATATGGTTCTTTATACCTTGATTAGAGTACAACGATATCATAAAATTATGATAATGTATCATCCATGCAATTACTTTGTACACAGAAAAGTGTGTACTATGAAACCTTGTGAAGGAAAATTAAAGCAACTTGGTGATAATTTTTTAAACTTTCTTAAGGAAGGTGATCTATTTCGTAATGAATTGATTGATTTATTGATTATTGGTTGCTTAATGTCCAGTGGCAAATATTTCATACATGTTTAGGACGATGTCATGAATTGAAAAACTGTAATTATGTCTGAAGATAATGTGCCACCTATATATATATATATATAAACATATTCTGGTAAATCTTTTAGTTTTTACTTTGAAATAATAAAAAAAAAACCAACAAAAAACACAAAACCTATAATCTCTGATCTATTGGTAGTTGCTTTTTAATGCCTATCTGCTAGACTATATCTATGGGGACAAACTATCTATATGTTTCAAATTTATTATAGCTTTAGTTTTACTGTGAAATTAAAAAATGTTTTCAAAACATGTAAAGCTTCCACTGCAATTTAATTATTGCCTGCTTTTGGTCAATTTATTTGGTCATCTTACCATGTAAGAAGAACATGTTATATAGTAAAACACCGCTTTATATCAGTATACATACTTACACCGGCAGCTACCATCTTTTCATTCTGGAGTGAAGGGCCTTTTGAAATCACATATTTTACAATGATACTAGTGAGTAGATTTACAAAACTTCGTTAATGAGCTCCGTTTTACAAACACCTGTGATACAAGTAGTCAGCCAAAATAAACTATCAATAGACCAATTAAAAGATTACTTGAGTTGTAAATATGTGCTAAATTGGATAGTCTATGGAAAGTTATATACTATGAAATTAAGAGCTCGGGGCAAGCCCCTCGCTCTAAATTTCATAGTATATACCTTTCCATAGACTAACCTAGACTTATCCAGTCGTTATATTCCGACTCACTATCGACCGCGTACATTAACCTCGAGCGGATACTGACCTTAAGAGGGCAAATAATCATTCGAGTTAAGAAAGATAGGTTCATAGGACATATATTGAGCATTTACACTTCCAGCGCTAGTCCAACTGAGGTTCCAACTTTGTTTGGAAATTGTTTTTTTATATCCCCTTTTTATTAAGCTGCTCCTTAATGTTTTATTCATTTGATTTGGTTTTTTTTAGCTTTTGTATGATCTCAAGCGTTGCTGAAGGTTATTCAAGACAATCGTTGATAATGATGAAAGTTATTCAAGACAAGCCTAGCTGATGAAGGCTTTTGAAGACAAGCCTTGCTGATGAAGGTTATTCAAGACAAGCGTTGCTGATGGGTTTTTTAAGACAAGCCTTACTGATGTAGGTTTTTTAAGACAAGCCTTGCTGATGAAGGTTATTCAAGACAAGCCTTGCTGATGAAGGTTATTCAAGACAAGCCTTGGTGTTGAAGGTTATTCAAGACAATCCTTGCTGATGAAGGTTTTTCAAGACAAGCGTTGCTGATGAAGGTTATTCAAGACAAGCCTTGCTGATGAAGGTCATTCAAGAAAATCCTTGGTGTTGAAGGTTATTCAAGATAAGCCTTGCTGATGAAGGTTATTCAAGAAAAGCCTTAATGTTGAAGGTTATTCAAGACAAGCCTTGCTGATGAAGGTTATTCAAGACAAGCGTTGATGATGAAGGTTATTCAAGACAAGCCTTGCTGATGAAGGTTATTCAAGACAAGCGTTGTGCGACGGCTTATTGAAAGCGATATTACTTATTCATATTCAATTATCTCTGCAATCTATTCCCTGTCTCATAGATTTTACCATTTCCACGCACATAAATTGAGTCAATATTATGCAGAGATGCAGAGATGTTATACAAAACCTGTATTTTCATTTTTAACTTGAAAAAAAAGAATCAATAGATAATTTCAGTGTGATACATTCGATTATAAATAAGTATATAGATAACCCGACACAGCCCATTTTCCACCCTTGGAAAATTCGTTTCAGTTTCCGGCAATATGTGCTTAAAAAAGTATATGAAATTTTAAGTCTACTTATTTCAAGTGGTAAACGTTGTGTCTTTCAATATTTTTGTGGGAGTTACTTCCATCGCCGGCAGGCATCATTTCAAATTGCTATCTCTTATTTTAAAATGTGAATATAATAATACCAAACGATTCAGGTTTTTTCACGCTATATTTGATGTAAAATACGGAACAGAAGTATATATTGAAGTAAATGATTGCTTGTGTCTTGACGGCTATCGTTTGTCATTAACAATTCGATCTCGTATTCTCAATTGGAAAAATGTTATCCATCAGAGCATTATCCTTCGTAAACACTCGGTTTTGAGCCTTTCACACCAAGGCCCGTAACTCTGAATAGAGAACAAGATAGTGGGAAATCTTTAAGTTCTTGTTCTGGGGCGCCTGAACGACCACACGTGACAAATAACTCGTCATAATTCGGTCCACCAAAGCAGCAAGATGTTATTCTTTTAGCGGGAAAATCGATGGATTGCAATTGTCCCCCTGAAATAATAACAGACAAACAATCGTTGTACACAGAATTTAAAAAATATCCTATTACACACATGTATATCAACCAGATACTTATTCTTATATTTTAAAGTTCTGGAAGCAAATTCAAACTTTTTATGTCCCGTCTACATTAGAAAGATGGAGGGAGGCCTTGTGTTTTCCGGTTTGTATGCCGTCCGTAGGTTGTCTTTCCACCCAGTATGTTAAAGTCTTGGTTTAAATTAAGTTTTACCAGTGACGTTGTGGTCAAATCGACTCAAAAATATTTATTATTATGCGAGCTTATAATCAAATGCAAATATAAGCAATATACCTAATATTAAAAATACACGGTACCACGTGCTTGCTTTTTACCAATACTACTCCTAGAAGTGTATAGGAGGTAAAATAAATGTTTTTTTCATTCTCAATTTTATTAATTCACCCCAAATTGACATAAACAACACGGTTTCAGCATTGCCTTCTGATTAGGGTATTTAATATTGACTTTCTGGCAAAGGAATATTATCATTCTCGGGTACATTTTGGGCGATACTATTTTTAATTGACAGAGAAGAATAATGTCTTCATCCTAGGAAGCGTATGTACATTATAACTTACCCGTAACAGGATCAAATCTAACAACTTTAGCACCATTGAAACAAGCCACCCATATCTTGTCTTCTGTGTCAATAGTCATTCCGTCAGGAAAACCTAGAGTTCCTATGGCTTTGAAGTCTATGATAACTTTCTCATTATCTAAATAAATATATATAAATGTGCTCATTATACAATGTTCAATAAAAAATATTTAGACATTTCATAACAGCATAATGTGCATATAGGACATCATGCTCCCGCTCGCACTATCATATCAGTTTAAAGTTGATGTGACCACAACTTCATGGTAAACTTCCTTAATAAAATAATCTTGATATGGGACAGACGAACATACGGATGGCTACACAAACCGGAAAGCCCTACTATAATAAGAAATATTAAATGAAAGAGCTTGCTCTATTAGGTAACACTTAAGCCGTCAAATGTTTGATTTAACCCTTTTTATTTTAATTTGACCCTATTTTTTAAAAACGAAAAAATAGGGGATGAAATTTTTTTTTTTTATTCGAGAAAGAAAAATACATATATACTCCATTCATTTAAATAAAAAAGGGAAGGGGGGGGGGGGGTAAACGTCAATAAGACAGCTGTCAAACAAGCACAACATTTTACATGGAGATAAATAATTGACTTACTGAATGTCCCAGTCTCTATATCGTAGTCCATTCCATAAACTTTCCCAGGTATTGAGTCTATGTAATACATCCGTTTATTATCAGAAGACCATACCAGTCCATTAGATATGGCGATTTTGTCCATATGTTTCTTCACTGTACCGTCAGTATATAAACAATATAAAGAGCCATGTCCTGCCTTAGACATTTCTACTCCCATTGTCCCTGTTTAATAGAATAAATATTCCAAGGATTCAAATTAGATGCGCGTAGTGTTTTTATTTCACAAGGAAATCACGTTAATTCATTGCAACCAATGTACTAGTAATAAGATGTTTTATATACATCTCCTTGTGTATTGTGTATTTGTACATTGACTTTCCACAATTTGCTTCGATCATTATAAACAGAGTGGAAAAGTGAAATAAAACAATAAAAAAAACTACCAACTAACAAAAACAAAACGAAACGAAAAAAACACATTTAAAAAAGAAGGTTACCTATTTCCTTGGGCACAACATGTGTTTCAGTCATTAAAAAAGTATGTTATATAATTACCAATCTAGTTGCGCCCAACATGTTTTTTGTCATTAAAAGTATTTTACCAAACTGTTTGCGCACAACACTTGTTTCTGTCATTTAAAAAAGTATTTTACCAAACTCCTTGCGCACAACATGTTGCTACAATTTTAAAAAGATATGTTATAGAATGTTACCAAACACTTTGATCGCAACACGTGTTTATGCCATTAAAAAAAACACTTTACAAAACTTCTTGCGCACAAAATGTTTCTACAAATTAAAAAAAGTATGTTAGCAATCTTATTGCGCACAACATGTATTTTGCCATTAAAAAGTATATTGCCAAACTCCTTGTGCACAACACGAGTTTCTGCTATATAAAAAAAAAAGTATATACCAAACTTCTTTGCGCACAACACGTATATCAGCCATTTTTAAAAACGTATATATCAAACTCCTTGCGCACAAAATGTTTCTACAATTTAAAAAGGTATGTTACCAATCTTATTGCATACATGCATTTTGACATTAAAAGAGTATTTTACTAAACTCCTTGCGCACAACACGCGTTTCTGGCATTTAAAAAAGTTAGTTACCAAACTCCTTGCGCACAAACCGTGATTCTGCCATTTAAAAAGTATGTTACCAATATATGTATGCACAACAAGTGTTCTTGCAACAATCTTCGACAGGTAGCTCAAGTACAATAGTTTTAAAATATAAAAGTTATCAAGTAAGCCTAAATTTAAAGATTAAAAGTATAAAGAGATTAGTGTTTACCTTACTTTGAATACAAAGTATAACAGAGCATGTAGTTTTGTCAAATCAATTGTTTTCATGTAAGAAACACGATTTAAACAGAGAGAATATTTTGAAAAGTTTTAACTGCATTAAAGCCAAAATCGACAAACTTAATCATTACCAGCACATTTCCCAAGATCACACTAATATTTATCTATTTATTCTTACCAAACCATAAACGTCCCCTTGCATCACACTTCGCATCATTCACTTTTGTATTAACATTGTTATCAACTTCCGTGATCAAACTGACGTTCTTTGTATCCCAGTCTAATGATGATATTGTTTTTTCATAACCAATCACATGGCCACCCTTGGCACGTGGAATTATAAACCCTACATATTTTTCTGCAATGTTATAAAAAAAGTAAACAGAAATAAACATCTTTCTAAAAATTCCAATGATTGTTATTTGTTTGGTATTCTTAGACAATATATTACATTCATAAATATTGCTAAGTATGCAATAATGTAAAATATATTTAATCTTACATATTGTTGCTGTCTTGTTGACGTTATGTCACTAATTACATGTGTATTGGCATCTACAACTATTACTGCTATAATAATACAATAACTTATATGGCTTTTATAAATAAGGTACTAAACTCAAAACTACATATCGGTCACATTAAGAGAGAAAAGTTTTGAATATCACGGTACATCTAATTTTGGTATCTTAATCATATATAGTACAAATAACCCATATACTAGTATCATTCATATCATTACAATGCAAGTATGTGATACACAAATAGATATTACATTAATCAATTAAGATAAACATGTCCGACAATCTGGTATAATTTGTTTACCAAGACAATAAAAGAAGAAATGTTCTTACCAATTTCTTTTAACTTGGGTGCATAGCGGAGAGTGGGGTCAGCGGAATACGCTATAATTGTATGTTTACCTATTCCTTTAATATAAGACAAAGAATTTTCAAAATTTCAAAAAAAAGCAAAACCATAATGTGTTGACACTTGTCATTTGTTGAAGACCGCATGTTGACATCCAAATGTCGACCATCTTGGTTTTTGTGTTATACTGGTTTCCTGGTTCATTGACGTATATACACGGCGTCTCCTGTTATTCACTTACCTAACTGAATCGTCTGTACTTCTTTGGTTCTGTAATTCCACGAGAAAACTTTTTGACCTAAATTATCTACAAAATACAATGTTTGTGCTGCTTCGTCCCAATGGGGACCTTCTCCTAATTCTGTGAAGACGTTTTCCAGTAGAACTTCAACTGACATGTTTCGTCATAGATCTACCTGATAATTAAGTAAAAGTATTACACATGTTTCCGAGGAATGGTAAAAATATCACTTAGGAATTTATATCAACTGAAAAACACCTTTTTATCGGATTTCACAAGTTTTCGTTGGTTGCTGTCTGTTATATTTGTTTTTTCGTTTATTGTTTTGTTATACATCAGGTCGTTGGTCTTGTTTCACATGTTGTCATGTCGGGGCCTCTCAAATTCGTAGCTGACTTTACGGTATATGTTATAATAATAGCTGAGGGTCGTATGATGTTCTATAATTGCTTAAATTCACGTTATTATATTTCATTGATATGATTTGCGCTTTCAAAAGCAGTTTGGTGAATTTCGAAAACCAAATCGCCATTTGAGAATAAACTGTCAATTCCAATGTAACTCTAAAGCCAGCTTAAGGAAAGCCGACAAAGTGTCATATTGAATTCATTGTGCGTGATTTTAAGCTCCTTTACAGACCAAGAGGAGAACTTCGAACTATGGATGAATAAACATTGGTTGTTGTGCTAGTGTTCGAGGGTATTAAGGCAACAGTAGCTTACCAATGTTTAAATTTCATTAATCGAGATTGCGTGTGTTCTTAAAGAATAAGAAGACAATGCAAGGTAACAAATACAAATTAAGATAATCGCATAAACTCCAAAAGGAGCTAGACAGGTTAAGCGTCTCCTTTTATGCATGTATCACCGGCCCTGCGCATTCAAATTTTAGACATGGAAATGTCACAATCAATAACATGGCACAATCGGTTAAATTATAGATCAGACGACTCTACTGGTATCTACAGATCTAATGGGGCCTCGAAAACATGATGTCTATAATGTCGAGACATCGACACATTGTATCGGTCAACCAATTCCCGACTGTGACTGTAATCATTATGTAGTGACGATTTCAGTCGTTCTTCTTCATAAATCTGTTTTTGTGTAATTTTTCTACTTCGAATCTTGATTGAAATCAAATTTCTACTCGTATTACGTTTGCATACGGGAAATTTGAAATAATCTTATGACGTGTATTGCTTTCATCGTTTTTTTTTTTTTTGTTGCAAAGAGAATTGATGAGTCAAGCAGATTTTACAATGTGTCCTTATGTTGCGTTGTTACATTTACATCACTATCCCAGGGAAGAATTGAATGCCCATAGATGGTCATAGATTTGTTAAACCTGATTCCCAGTGGTTATCATTTGTCGCTGTCTACTTTATCTGTTTTTTGTTCATGGTTGTATTTTTGATCAGGCTATAGGTTTTGTTTCTGAATTTAAAATCACATTTTGTATTGCCTATACGGTATGGGTTTTGCTTATTGTTGAAGGCATAATCTGACCTGTAATTGTTCGAATCAGTTTAATATCAAAGAGACACAACTTGGAACCTTTACCGGTATAAATACAGTTAGAAAGCGGTCAAAAATAAATTCTCAGGAAGCCACAAAATGATGGGAGAGTAGTCAATTTTTAATATAAGCTCACACTCAAAGGAATTTAAGGTAGATAATAGTCGAAAACCGCCGTTTTATTATTATTTTTTTTTATCAAAAACTTCATGGTGCAAGTGGCACAGTTTTAAGCAGTGGTTACTTTTGCATTGTCTATTTTAACAATTTGCAACTTCAAACCAATACACATAAATAACTCTGACTGGATCCCTGCTCTCGTCGACAGATTTTATGTTTTCTTCTTAGTCATAATCATTGATTTTAAGATGTGTAAATGTAATGAATACACACATTATAAAATGTGAAAATCAGCAGAAAGCTCCGTTTCTGACTGAGACATATTTTTTGTTTAACTTAGTTCTACTGTCATAATTATAATTATTCAGAAATTAGTATTGACAATTCGTCAAATTTTACGTTAAACAGTTCAATTTGAAAGCATCATTTAGTCATCTTTACACATACTTTAACTTACCTTTTGAACTATTCTTGTTTTTAAATGACAGTGCCCTTCACAGGTAGCCTATCTGTAAATTTAATTGTTTAGAAAAAAACAAATCTTTATAATCGTGAAATATCACTTGAAGCGGAAACAAAAAAAAAATATGAATGTGAATGCAATTAACTGTTCAGTTCACATTGATGACTTATGTGTAATAACAGACATCACAGAATGCCTGAACACATAAAAATGTATTATTACAAGTTTTAGCTTTTCAAAAAGCTTACTTAACTTTTTTCAGCCCACCTTCCCGAGGGCCAGTATAAATCTCTTTTTTCAACTTCAATAACCTGTATCTACTGAGACATCATTCATTGCTAGTGTAAAATTTTTCATAATATCTCTTTTCAAAATTAAGGATTTCTGATTGTTCTGTAATTATCTCCCTTTCCTCAATCTTTAATTTATCTTTTTTCGTTTGTCTGCTCTTCTCTAATCCTAGTAAAAATGTAGTGTTCTTTTCCCCTTGTTTTATCCATTTTATCCTGAAACGTTTCTGTGCACCTTTCGCTATAAGACTGTACAGAGATTCTATCTTACATTCTATCAACTTGATTTCATTTTTTTTTCTACTTCACTTAATATTTTGTTATTATTTTTTTCCTGTAATGTTTGAAGGGTATTTTATAAATCCTGAATTTCATTTTTTTTTTTTTTATAGTTAAGCTCTTTTTTCTCCAAAAGTGTATTGTTAATTATCTTACCTCAATTTTTAACAAAACTCATAATTGTGATAAATTTTCAGTGTAATTACTTTTGAGTATAAAATTGTCAATTACATTTTTTATTTTATTTTCATAAGATTTATCAGTAAGTACACTATTGTTTTCTTTTAAAAAAAACCTTTACTTTTACCCTTTACTGTCACTGGACATGGCTGGTCTCATATCTGTAGACTTTATCGTATTTCTCAATTCTCAATATTATTAATATAAAGCTACATCTCTTTATTGAGTGGTGCCAAAACTGTGAAAAATATCTACGGCATATTCTTTACTTACTTTATTTTCTATTTATATAACGACATGGGTTTCTTGGATAAAAAGTGAATCAGTTTTTTGATACTTTAACCATGCATAAAGTCTTTTTCTTTTTTCTTTTTGACCTAGTCCTTGACAATTTAAGGAACACCACATGTGTAAAGCATTATTCATGAACTTTGTATTTTTTGTAGCTTAAAGCGAGTGAATTCAAATCTAAACTTACTCTACTGTATTGTATTTTTGTTTGAACATTTTATTATAATTTGATGTGTACAATCTACTTTGAATAATACACATGTAAAACAAACAGTAAATAATTGTTAGCCTTTGACTCTTAAGATTGTTGTACAATACTGAATACATTGACAAACATATACAAGAACAATAGCATGCATGGTTTAAAAAATATACATTTCGGTTCGGAAATGGTGTACATGTTTTTAATCATCTATTTAAGGATTTTCCCATATCTATTAATACGAGTCGCTTGCTCAAGTAAATTCTAATTCGCTAGATTTTACTAATTCTAATAATGCGCGTATGTTATCATATTTTTTTTAGCTCTATTTATTAGTGACGATTTTGTTTTTATTTTTGCAGGTACAATGTAGATGAGATATCAAGCTTAAATACAGCATGACGTACAAATTTATGTCTATAGAATACGATCGACCGTGTCGTATAGAGATGTTTCGAACGAAGTTGATAGTTGTCACACTTGTGTAATACCGTTTAATATGCTTTGGTGGTAGGATGAATTTACTTGATTTACATGAAGACTAAACTGTTTTAATTGATAAAGCGATATTGAATATTTTTTACTAGAATACAGTCATTTATGAGGATTGATATTGCCGGAATCTGACTAAGAATACTTCCCAGTATCTATACATGTACATGTATATCTGTGAGCATTTGTATTCTACTGCAAACTATTGAAGTCAAAAGCTATGTCGAAAGATTTTACAGTGCTGTGTTATATGTAAATATATATACAAATATACACAAGTCTAAATTGAAAACAACGTTCGAACCTATGATTGCGTTGGATAAAAACCGCAATTTTTATATGTGTGCATGTAAAACAAATTTCTTGGTAGAGGGGTCTAAATACAGCACAAACAACATTTTCCAAAAAGACCAAAAAAGTGAAAAGTATATTTTAACAAATCGCATTTGAGTAACAGGTCGAACAACTGATGTTCTTAAATCCTGCCGACTGCCATTGACGATTGCCAAATAAATTGAGCACGAGATGTAACATGGATCTTAATTATTAATTTAATACCAAACAGAAAACAATAAACTTGCGGAGAAGATGGTATACCGCAAACATGAGGTGCAAAAATTTGTACACCATATCCGGATTTCGACAATTAATGTCAGTGATGTTAGGGATCGAAACGGTATTTGGAAGGCCATATAATTTACCTCAATTTAGGATAGACTCTTGAATTTTAAAGAGTCGAAATAGGATGAACGGATCATATAAACCCGAAGGAAAATATAATACAAGCCCAAACGAAAAAATATAAACAAGTCTAAATTGAAAACAACGTTCAAACCATATAAATATTGACCGTAGTTAAATGTTGTTGAAATGTAGTTTGATTCATGGTATAGAGTTCTGATACAAAATTTATAGTATTCCGCTGCATAAGGTTGGATTTTTGAGATTCTGAGTCCAGTTAATCTGTGCAAAGAAGATACCGTTTTGCGAACTGTTTCTCAGACTATGATAATACATGTATAAAGAAATGTATTTTGCAAATTTGCGGAATATTATATATATCAGATATGTATAGTACAGAAGTATGTGCTTATTATTAAATGTTTTGTCTATTAAAGAAAATTATTCAATTATGTATGTATTTTTTGTTTGATCGCAAAGACCAATTATGTTTCGATTTTTATAAATCTTTGACATAATGTTATAAAAAATAACATTTAGGTTCATTTCTGTTTTACTCTTCTTTCTATTACTCCTTGAAAGTATAAAATCTAATATTCCATCCCAATCATCGCTACATGTATTTGTATTTTTACTTTTTTTTTTTAAATAA